TTTTTTTTTATTAAAAGCTATATTTTGTAGTAGTTATTTTGTTAATATATATTGAGGTTAGTATTATAACTATTTTTATAATGATGAAGGTACAACTAGTTATATATGCAACTTTTATTTGTTTATTTAAATAGTTTATTTTAGAGTTTTATACTAGATATTGTATCTATAATCTACTAAAAAATTATTTATTTAAACCTTCTGATTATCTGTTCTATTAATTATTTAACTACCACAAACCTCTTGTATATACTTAGCCAGTATACTGTTTAAGCAGTATAGTACCTTTCCTTTTTCAACTAGTATTCAGGTTATTACATATTTAGAATATAATATCTGTTAGTAAGACTCAAGTAATTCTTCTTATTAACTACCTACTTATTTTATAGATTATTAACAAAAACTTGCTCTTGTAAAGTTTATCTATATTTTAGTATTTATTTTACAACATATTTTTAGTACTTTAGTATACCCTTACTTTGTTTTTAAACCTTCAATTCAGATAACTTAAAAGAACTTTGACTTGTTTCTTGTATATTGAATCTAATCCAATATCTTTTCTTTTAGTTTAACTTGACAGTCTGATTGGTTGTATCTCTTATCTAGAGGTTTTTACTTATCTAATTTCTCTATATTGATATCTATTTTCTTGATTCAGTTTTTATATTGGTATTATTAAAGATTTGTATTATTTCTATACTTAGGTTTTTTTAAGTAAACTTCAGTTTTTTTTAGTTCTACAGATTTATATAATTACAAAAACTTATTTTGGCTTTATACTACCCAGTACCAGTTTGTATTTCTCTGTATAACCAAGATTACATAAATAATTGTAACTTTTCAGTCATGTTAGTGCAACTATAGTTACAAATATCTTATTTCAACTAATTGACAGAATGCTGTTGTTATAATATTATCTATATATTCAGTAAATTTTGATTACCTCCTGTATGTACAGTTGCCTCTAAAAGTTTAGGACGGTTACACTGAAATATATTATATAAAAAAAAATCAAAAAAAGTCATTAACAATTATAAATATAATTTTATGCTGATGAAATTTTTTATTTTTTTATGTTTCTGTGTAACCGTCCTAAACTTTCGGAGGCAACTGTATATATAAAAAAGATCTTCGAAAAATTAATTTTGTTATAAATTTTTATAATAAATTATATGAAAATGTAAACTTTTATAAGCTATAATGCAGAATTTTATTAATACTACTGCTTTTATATCTTAGTTAAAAAAAAATAATTCTAACATTATTCTAAATTAAATTTATATAAAAAAAATCATTTTAAAAAATTTGTCATTTTTCTTCCTTTTTTGCAGAACCTAGTCTATATATGCAACTTAAACATCTTTTTATTAACCCTCTTATTGTTAATTATACTACTTCTTTTGCCTTTGCTTTTATTAATATTTCTTTTAGCTTGTTGCTAACACCAACGAATATAAGATTTACTTTGATAAAAATCAACATCAAGAAAAATTTAATCAAATACTTTTAGTAGCATTAATATATTAATTCAATTTCGTTAGCATCAACAGCAAGTTTATAATAAGTTTCATATTCATGATATACTATTTTGTCTTCCTTTCTATTTCAATAAATAAGCTAACATTTAAATTTGTTTAAAATGTTAATATAAATAAATTAAATAAAATTATTGAAAAAAGAATTTTATTTAAATACTGTATTCAGAAAGAAAAAAATAAAGGAACATTGTACATTCCTTCCTTAATAAACATTTAATCCTATTAAATTGTCTTTTTTTAAACAATGGTTTATGAAAGTAACTATATTAATGAAATTCTTAGGTCATAATAAGATTTATTAAATGAGTAAAATCTATGTTATTTCTTTCGAATCAAGGATTTGTCTTGCCCAAGCACATGAAGAGTCAAAGTTCATTTATGGATCATGAATTAAAAAAAATAATTAGTGTAAAGAATATAGTAACTTAATGTAATTGTTAAGTTGTTATACGTTAAAAATTTGAACCCTATTGGTAATAAATATTTAAAAATTCTATTTGCATTAAAGTTAACTATCTTTTGTCAAAACTTGGATGGTCAAATTTGGCCCGATTTAAGTTAGAGTCTGTCTACGATAGTTAGTGTTGGCTAGAGGCAGATCGTCGGCGAATTCTTGCTCTTATCTGTTAAAAATTACTGCTGACATGTGGTAAATGCAGAGTTATATATAATCATAATAAAATATAAAGAAAATCAATAGATTAAATAATGATCTTACTAGAATGAACTCATAGAACATGAACATTACAAGTTATATAAACACGAGAAACCGCAATCCGGTATCATGTTCTTGTAGACAACGCCAATACGTACGTGCGTAGGCGCATCGGCAAGTCGCGTATGATGGTCGCGTAAAAGCATGTTCTTAGTCCTCTGAAGAAAATAAATGAGAGGTGATAATCGAGATTCACACATCCGCACGCAACGTATAAATAAATGTCGAATGCGTGGTATGAAGCGCCATCGTTTCTTTTTCAGCTAACCTGAATTTTAGTCCGGTTTTTAAGGAAATTAGATATTTTCATGCTTTCATACATATAAATAGAAGCAGTTATTATTCATACCCCCTGTAATCTAAAATTTGAACAAAGATATCTAGATAACCGCCTAAATCGTTGAAATTTTTTTTTATTTTAATAATTTTATGAATTTATAGAATATAAAAAAAAAAATTTGGTTAGATGATTGTCAAGATATATTTTGTTTAAATCTTTTTTTAAAAAAAATTTAAAACCTTTAAAAGTTTCTATTAAAATAGAAGCCACCAAAAAAATTTTTTTTAACCCTTTAAACGAAGATATCTTGATAACTGCCTATTTAATTCCACAAAAAAAATTTATTTTAATAATATATTATACTGTATATAATCGTAGAATTAAATTTAGTTGTTGAGATACCTTAAAGTTTGGAATAGATGGCACGAAATTTTTTTTTTAACTTTGAACAAAGTTACTTGATAATTACTATCTCAGTTTTGATAAAAGTTTTATTTTAATTCTACGAATATAAAATAACAAAAAAGTCAATAATTGTCATTTAAAGTTTTTTTTTTAAAAAAAATTTTATCGTATTATAAAATTTTTTTTTTAAGCCAAGGTATCTTGACAATAACTCAACAAAGTTTCTAAAAAACTTTTTTTTTTAACTCTGTTACGTTTGTGAAGTTAAAAAAACATATCGAATTTAAGCAAGTGATGTCGAAATATCTTTAAAGAATTTTATAACGGTTTCTAATTAACAGATGAAAAAGATTTCGACAAGCACCTAATCAAGTTCGATACATTTGTAAAGTTAAGGAAATTATTGTAAAAAATTTTGGGGCATAAGTAAACCAATCGACTTATAACAAAGTATTTTTCTACTAAGTGTGGAATCTTTATGATCATGAAAATCTCTGGATGAAGATGTGAGGTTCTTTAGTAGATGTAAATAATAAGGAAGCACCGTTAGAGATTCTATTAGGAGAAAAGACCTTTTTACTGAACGAAAAGGAATATGATCAAGGTAGGCAAATGTTTCATGACTCTAATAGCTTTTTCATAATTTTTATAATAGTCCATCTCAGTCTCAAGAAAAAGAACCAGAACGATTATCAGATTAAAATGAATATTTTTCATACAAAATGGCAATTTATTTATCGACTTGCTTCAAAATTCTATTAGATAAAAGTCTTAATATTAAGAGAATGGAATTACAATCATGTGGCAGGGGACAGTATAGAAAAAAGTGTGCATCGTAAAAGTTGCAATCATCAAATGGCTTAGATCCGATGTTTGACTTACGTGGTAATAAAGGAGATAAAGTCAAAGCAAAAAACGAGTCAAGATAGTAAACCAGTGAACAGCGGCTAATAGAACAACTAAGCTTGTGCAGGAGTAGGAAGGCGGATAACCCTTAATTGTTTCCTGAACGACAAAAATTTTGTACGTACTTACTAAGCTTAACAGTTATAAAGTAAAAAAGGTATTCTGACAAATTGAATAATATAAAAAATTTTCGGTCTCTCAAGTTGTATTCATCACGGTAACCGTTGGAAATTAATTGTCACTCTGAAACAGTTTGTTATACTATTATTTCATAGCCGAATTTATTCGATTTTATGAAAATTGTCATTGAAAACAAAAAAATTTCGTATCGATTACCTCGTTAAAAAGGTACGTACGTATACTTTAGTCGCTCATTTCCAATGGTTATTTCTTGCTATTTACATGACATCATAACTGACATCACATAGGGTGACAAGTTAGCATTTTATTAGTTGTAGATAATACGTATACCATAAAGTGCTTGTCGAACTGTCATAAAAATATCGCTGCCAATAAGATTTCAAGATCGGGAAGAAACGCGGAAAATCAAAACAATCCAAAAAATCGGTCATAACTCAACATTTAACCTATGAAACCATCTTCTGCGCACTAACAAAAAGTTTTCGTTGCGAAATTTTGATACTATTGAAGCTTTTTCTAACCTAACTTAATAGCTAATCTAGCAGCAAAATTTTTTTAGCTAATTTTTTAGGTTGGTAACGCTAAGATAGTCGTCCAACGGTTAATTCAACCAGCATTAAGATAATTCTGATTTATGACCGACATAATTCGGTTCGGATATAAAATACTTTTTTCACTTTACATTCCATCTTACACTATATATATGTTTTTAATGTTAAGATGTAATGCAAATCGTGATTTTTTTTTGTTTTTATTAACATTTTTTAAAATGAGATTTTTTTTTTTTTTGAAAATGATTTCATGATAATTACAAGAAAGATTACATTATCAATAATGTACAGGTTAATTTATTACAATTTTAGGGTGACCGGCAATAAAAAATTTCTAAATATCTATTTTTCTAAAAGATATGGTTTATAAATACAAGTGGTGAATATTATTTTTTTTTTTCCCTTCCCAATTTTTTTTTTTTTTTTTCCCAAAAGAATTCCGTTAAATAACACCAAGAGTCCAATTAATTGTCTTCTTGATCAGTATTATCCGGATTTATAATATCCGGATTAACAACTCTTAATTCTCTTATCACCACAGATGCACCATCATGTGGTTGTAATTGAACGTCTAAACCACTACCAATGTTCATAATATGAATACTATGTGAACTATCATCATCATCCTCATCAACATCATCAACATTATCAAGGTTATTTTCATGCCTTAATGGGCTCCATCGACGAATTTTATTATCTTCTACAGTTAGTCCTAATATATCGATTCCATTAACATCATTAGTATCACCAAGTTCAACTTCTACACTTCCTTGAGGATGATGACCTTTTGTGTATACAGGTATAGTTGTATTAGTTTCACTAAACTTCACACTACGTCTTCTATCTTCAGGATCAGAAGGTTTAATATTATTATCACTAGTATTTCCAAGTAATCTATTTACAAATATTGAATTTTGTGGTTGAGTTGATTGTTCAATATCAGGTTGATTTGATCCATCACCATAATTATCATCATTTAAACGAAATAAACTTGAGAAGAAACTAATTCGACTAAATCGATTAGTTGTACGTGATCTTGGTGTTGTTGGATCATTATTATTGTTATTATTATTATTATTATTGTTATTATTATTATTATTTTGTGGAATTGTTCTTGAATATGGAATTCCTACTAATATTGAACCATTTGATATTTTACGCCGATGATTAATGTAATAAATTAAAAATGCTATCATCGATATACAAATTAATATTAATAAAACTAATAATCCTATAGCTAATTCCTTAGATATACTTATCATTTGAGCATCACTAATCGATGAATTTGAAGATGTTGGTGTTTGATTTGAGGTGGCTGAAGTTCTTGTAGTCGATGATGGTAGTTTTATTAGAGGTTGACCAGATGGAAAAGATAATGGAACGTATCTATCTACCCATGTCCAAGTTAATAAATTTAAACAATATATATGATTATCAATAGTTTCAGTTCCTTGTCCAGGTGTAGTTCTTCCTAAACGAGTTTTTAAAAAAAAAATTTTTTAAATTTTTAACCATTTTTTTGTGGTTATATAACAATTTGAAATTAATTATTGATTTAACAATTTGATATTAACTATTGAAATTCATACCAAATGCAATAATCATATTTGCACCAATGATTGTTGCTGTATGTAGAAATCGAGCTGTAGGTGTGTTATTAGTAGGAGGTGCTACCCAGTTCCAATTTGTTGTGTCAAGAACTGCAACGTCACCAAATACTGTAATATTATTTAAACTAGCTCCGCCATATATTATAATATAATTATTTAAAACTATATATACATATATACACACATATATATATATTTTAGTAAATTTGTTTATATAAAAAATTATTATCACGGCTGATGGCTGAAGTTGAGAATCAAGATCTGTATTTGAATCTATAAACCTTATTAAAACCCACTTATACTCTCAACTAATACAAAATCTCAACTTCAGCCGATTTTAACCGATTTTTTCCGATTTCAACTTAAGCTGCAACAATTGCAGATAAAATAATTAACTTAGAATTATGAATACATACCAACAGCTGAATGAGCTTCTCTTGGTGAAGGAACTTGACCAATAGCAGTAACTAAAGACCAATCAACGGTATCCGAGTCAAAAACATATACATTACTCATAGGGACAGATGATTTACCGTCAGAACCACCCAAAATAATCATCTTATTCCCTATAACACTAGCAGTATGACGTTCTCTTATTCCAGGATAATTAGCCAAAGATGGAAAACCTTGCCATCCAGATAAAGAAATAGAGTTAAATCCCCATAACTCATCAACATCAAAACTATTACCAGTTGTGGGAGTAACTTCACCACCATAAATTAACATAATTTTATTTGATAATATAACAGCTGAATGTGAATGACGTCTTGTTGGAGTTGAAGAGATTATTTGAGGAGTCCATAAAGGATATGATGGATCATAAATTGTTAAACTTGTCATGGCAGCCGAAGCAGGATCATCTACGGTACCACCAAAAACCACAATTTTCGAATTATTTAATCCACCGGATACGGCAGAGTGGAAAATAGTTCTTGGCATCCCTGTAGAATCAAGTTCCATCCATGGAGGTAAATTTATTTGGAACTCGAGAGAGATGTTAAGGCTAATAAAATCAATAGTAAAAACATTATCATTTGTTCTTCCACCTACAAAATATATAGTATCATTTATAAGAGTTGCAGTATGACCGAAACGAGGATCAACATTAGAGACTGGATTTGGATATGACGAGACTGATTGAATTAACGATAGTAAAATAGATATTATGAATAACCATTTTAATATAATGATGTTATGATGAACTTGTAGTGGCATGGATTGTTCAAAAGTAAGATGTATGATGACTACTTTATACTGGATTACATGAAATTAGTTTTTTTTTTATTTTTTTATTTTAGGATTAAATAGTAGAAATTTAAAAAAAAAATTTTTTTTGAAAAGTATATAAAAAAATAAAGAATAAATTTAAGAAAAAAAGAAAACCCGAACGACTAGGAAATGATGTAATTGATAATAAGCGGAAATCTGGTGCAATTACGTGGTGAGGCAAGCCCCTGAATTGAAATAAAAGGAATGAAGTGTAGTCAAAAAAGACCAGAATGTGAGAGTGTGTGAGGCAATTAGTGTCGAGAGGGAGTAATATGTAAATTGATGAGGGTTATAAATTTGTTTATTATTTATATTATATGCGTGTGATAAGTTGATCAATGTGCATGTGTAAATATTACTGCGAAGAGACATATATAGTTGTGATAATGAAACATTACCGAGAATAGTAATTGTAAATCGGTCGTCAAACTACTTAACTGTATCAATTAGTGATGTCTTACTCCAATTAGTGATGTCTTGCTCTTTCAAGAAACATTACATTATTCTAATAATTATGATTAATATTGGTTCATTGTTAAGCTGGCGCCGAAATTGGGTAATAAGGAATTAAAGCACTTAATTTCATTCTTATTTATCACGACTGGTCACTAAAACTTAACCTTTGGTATTTATGTGCAAACAAAATGTCAGTAATTAATTCATGACTTATTTAGGTTAAAAGCCCAATAAAGGTAACTGGTAACCATATAAACCATTATTAGTGTACAAAACAATTCAAGTACGTACGTATATCAATATTGAAATATTTGTTGTTTTTATTCAAATATACAGATATACAGATATACAGAGGGATAACTATTTGAATAAACCAATGGAGCACGATTCATTCTTAAATAAAAAACCGACACCGGAGTTTGGAAATTCCTGGAAAGGTTCGCTATAATCTTTTCAGGTAAAGTACGAAGATAAAAATTATTATTAACTTGATTATTTTTGGAAATTATTTACTTTTGTGTCGAATGCAAACATTAACAACAAAGACGGATAATTATTACACTATTTTATAACAATTGTTTAATCGTTTGTGGGGTGTGATCATTGACAGCCTGTGATAGACAATTACTCAACAGTTTTTTCCCCGACAAGTCATTGATCAGGGATTTTGTCAGTCAGAACTTTGTTGTAAAAGGTTTAGTGAACATCATTCATATCTGGAGTAGCTTATTTTATCTCTTATAACAAATAAAGTTAAAGAATATCCATGACTTATTTTACTTTATGATTAAATTAAACAGCATATCAAGTCGACATATTGACAGATTACCGAATTTTTGCTTATAAAATTAGATGATTGAAGTCTGGTAATCACCATTTGTAAAAATATAAATATAAAATTCATTTATAGATATGTTTACAGATAATATAAGTACAAATGACCTTATTTTGTCCTAACAAAAAAACATTTATATAAACTTTGTCCTGCTCGTATCCTAGCTCCAATCTGACCATATCCGTAAAAGAAATTTTTTCAACGTTGTTTTTTTTCCAATAAACTGTTAGCAATGATCACTTCGCGCGTAATGCACAGGCGTTTGAGTATTACTGGTAAGGATTTAGTTAATCGACATCATCTGTATCGCGAGTTTCGAGACTTTCAAGAGAATATTTGTTATTAGTCAATGAGTTTTATGTAAATATTCATAGCATTATTTGGAACAATAGGTTGTGTCATCATTTAATGAAACTTTCCATTTTAAACAAATGTAATAAACAAAATTAATGTTTTTATTTTAAGTATTAGCAAATGGTAAAAATGAGAATTATACGGCTTTGTTCTGCACTTAGTAAATGATGTGGTACTATCTGGAAGCCAGGTTGTATCAAATTGAAATTAATTTTTGATTGGTGATACTCTTGGTAATAGTTGTGCTAGTTTGTATGAACATTCTTTTAAAAATATTTATTTTAAAAACATCTATATGAAAAACATTTTAATTTAATAACAAATTAAATGTTTATTAATAACTAGCCAAGACATTTCTTGGCTAGTAAAATAATAACGATAAGGTAAACAACTAAAAATTTGTGCACTAATGGTTGAACATATACGTGTCAAGTTACATATGATCATGTGATTGGTAGTGAATTGGTAGAAATGAAGACAAATAAGGAACAAAAGAATGCCTTTTGAGTCAACAGATTATATGAAATGTATGATGAATTTAAAGTATAAGGACAATAAGCCTAAGTGTTTATATAAGAAATTTTCCGACTATCTGAATTTGACATAATCCATAACTATAAATTATTGTGATTGATTTTTTTTTTACTTAATTCGTATTTTATAAAAAATCAAAAGTAATAGTTGAATCTCTATATAGAATAGTGTGGATAAACAGATCGCCCATATTAATTTATTGAATGAGTATCTATAATGAATCCTGGGTATAATAAATCCTGGGCATAATGAGTTCAAAACTTTATATTTCATATTAGTTCGGTATGAAAAGTCAAATTGTATAACAGATAATGAGCTTTTTCAGAGTCATCGAGTTTTGTGTTATGTATAGTATAAAATATATTTGTAAATGAATCAACTAGATTCGTACTCGTGACAATTTTAATAATTCGTTTTTGAACTAGTGATAAAAAAATAGTTTTTAAAAAAGAATAAAAAAATAAATTCTAATACGTACTCGATGAACAATCATGTGACTATATTTGATATTCGTTGTGGATAATTAGTTTTGGTTATTAGATGAAATTTAAAACTATTGGTGAAATAGATATAAAAATGAAATATAAAGTCGATCTGAGATAAAAATTCGATATTGTAAGCCAATATCTGGTATATACGTACAGTACAGTAACTGTATTCCATAACAGATAATTCATATAATGTTGTACAAATCTTTTACATGTAACAAATTATTATGCATATCAATATTTTGACTTTATTCATAATATTACAGCATATAATAATGATTTAAATGTGCATGGTAATTACATACGCACATATTTTACCATAAACCACCCGTATTACACGTAGTAGACCAGGGCTGAAACGATCTATAGAAAATAGTGGTGATTTACCGCGCCAATATTCATTATTAAAGTGTCTTTTTTGATGCATCAAAATTAATTACTGCAACAAATAAATATCTTAGATTTTACTACTAATGTGAATCAAAAGATCGATAGTTTGCGAATGACCACTATTTACTATAAGTCGTTTCAACCCTGAGTACGTAGACCCCACGTACCCTTCTTATTAAATACTTGGTAAAACACGGTATATAATTGTACGTATAATTCAACGCATATATGTAGTAAAACATAACAGATAGTAACTACTGAAATCTTTTCTCTATATTAAGTCTTTAGATTGTTAAAATGCCTATTTTGTACCAAATAAAGTATTATGAATTTTTTTGTTTGCAGTTTATTCTTTATTGTGAAACTTTTTTAAAATTCTTTTTTTTAGAAATTATTACTAAAATTTCAATGGTTACCGTTTCTCTTATTATTGATACGCATTGCATTATGTACGTACGTATGTACGTATAAATTGCTTTATTGGACAATTTGCTAAATCGGACGTTCCGCATTACACGCATGATATTAAATATTGCCTGTATGTACCAATTAATCGTAGAATGCATGTTTTACAGCAGTGTGTACGTAACGACGCATAATCTGATTATTATTGTGCGAATTTCAATCATTTCAATTTTAAGAGATTAAAATTTCAATTCCACTGCAATAAAGAAAATTTTATTAGTTATTATTATGCCCAAACTACTTGGGACGTCCAAAACTGTGATGAATAGTATCACACAATTTCGGTAATAACAATAAGGCAGTAAACACCTCACGTGATGTTATTCATCACGTAGTTCACGTTTACAATATATAGATCTTTAGTATTTAACGGGACTATGTAGATTTTATGAATAAAAATTAAAATTCATAGCCATCCAGTAATAATTTAAACAAACTTTCTTTTTATTTAGTAAAGCTTAGTGAGTTCTACAAAATAAAAAAAAAGTTTATTTGAATTGGATTATTGGATGGCTAGAAATTTTTATTTTCATTCAGAAAATCTACATAGTCCCGTAAGGTCATTTTCAAGGCAAAGACCCCGTATACTTATCAGCCATTAGGATTTCATTAGCGTCATATTCGAATTTTGAATAAACATACACCACATCGCATTAATAGGTTCTAGCATTTTCACATACGTATGTACGTAAGTACTATCCGTGTAACGGTCTTACAAAACATTAAAATGTCTGAAACTGTGTAAACTGTCATAACATACTGATACGATTTTTAATTATAAATTTGTTAGTTTGGACATTGTACATATATATATTTGGATCTCTGAGGTCCACAATCGAAAATCTATAATCTTATTTCAAAACCTGAGAATTCTGCCTGTATTGCTATTTTTACGCATTCTCTAAGGTATGAGATATAATTACTTCAGTTATTATTAGATTATCTAATTTTTGTGATAGTAGTTGATTGTAAAAAATTTATGTTATAAAATTCAAGTTTATTGTTACAATACCGTAGCAGTCTTCTACCATTCCTTGTCACGTTTCTTTTTTTACTATTATTATTATTATTATTATATTATTATTATATTATTATTATATTATTATTATTATTATTATTATTATTATTATTATTATTATTATTATACGTAGTATTACTATCATCGTTATTGTTATCCTGTATTAGATTATCATTTTATTCTATATTTAGTTAATTGCTCTTAAATAATTTATTACATAACTAACACGAATTTTTTATTGGCAAATATTTTTAGTGACATTTTCAATGTCAACTCTTAAAAGCTTGGATTGCGTATGAGGCGTTCTACTCACATCGTAGACAATCGCTCCATTGACAGTTAATTCACTAGCATGTTTATTTTATGAATGTTTAATTTACAGACAGTTCACTCAGTCAATAACGCA